ATTTTATAGACTAAGTAACCTCGAACACCTTTGGGAAACAGAGACAACACGTCGTAACACGCAGGTAGACCAACAGCGGGCGTTAGACATGGGCGTCAGGACGTATATCTTTTACAGGATTATCGAATAAACACGGTTACCTGTGTGGGAAAAGCGTACAGTTTAGAGGACTTAAACGCGGGAGGGGAAATAGCTTGGAAGGGCAAGAGGGTCATCCAACGAATAATTATAAGCAGCACTCACTACGCAAGGAGTACTGCCATCTATTTGGGGGTCGGTGACGTAGATCTCTAAACCGTACTCACCAGCGTCGGGCAGGAAAATTGAGAAAACGAATTCTGTGCCGTTCGAGAGGGGGCGTTGGACGATGCAGTGCTCCGTGGCATCCGCTGACAAGACCGTGGACTTGAGTTTAGCCATCTTTTGGGGCAGGGGACGGTTCGAGTCTAGGCTGGCAAAGCGTAGTTCCACGGCCCCCTGAGTGGCTCGAACACTGGGCTCCCGACAGAAAGCGCGGATGTTAAAGCGTTTCGCCATCTATAAGTGGAATGCAAAATTAAGGCACTACAGGAGCCTGAGTGGCTAGGAAAATTGAGCTTTCCACGTCCTGTCCAGCAGTCCTCCCTTTGCAATAGTTGAGTGGACTGGGGTGTAGGAGAGGTTGTCGCTAGAAAACGGTGCTATACACCCTCAATAAGGCTGATGAAAAGTTGATTTAGAACTAGATAAAAACGAGCAGTCAAAGAATTTTCGAGGATCAGCGCGCACTTTTGCAATGATCGACCTCCTGTCACATCATGTGTTTTTGCCGATGGTAGCAAAAGTGTCAACAATGAACGTTAATTCAATTTTCGAATTAAATGCCCTTCAACTGATAAACATAAAATAAACCAGGGCAGCCTATGCAACATAGGTGTGTCATTGACCATCAAAAACCCCGACGATCTCAAGGATAATCGCAGTGCAAGGATCTTCAATACCACTGTAATAGGACGTCAGACAATGGTATGTTTTATGTGTTAGCGTTGTTGCAAAAATCCGAAACTTACGCGAGAAAAATTAAATTGAGAACAAACGGTGGAAAAGGTAGATAGGCTAAATATGTATGTCGATCATTTCTAAAAGTAAATACATTATTAGCACAGGCCGCACGACTTACTGTTGATCATCAAATGAGGTCCCTATTCAGATAAGAGTTTCGAGTATACGCAACAGTGCACTCACCAGAGCTCCGAGGACACTC